ATGGGTGGGGAGGATGTGTGGGACATTGCTCACCATCCTCCTTGCCATCAGCATAGTGGTAGAGATTGTTGCTGGGGAATGACGATTATCTGGGCCAGTGGCACAGAGGTAAACTTTAGGAGGCTGAGGTGGACGAATCACCTGAGGTCGGGAGTTCGAGAGCAGCCTGATCAACATGGAGAAACTTCGTCTCTACCAAATTCTAAATTCCAAAAATACAAAATTAGCCAGGCATAATGGTATATGCCTGTAATCCCAGCTACTCAGGAAGCTGAGTCAGGAGAATCACTTGAACCTGGGAAGCAGAGGTTGTAGTGAGCCAAGATCGCACCATTGCACTCCAGCCTGGACAAAAAGAGTGAAACTCCATCTCAAAAAAAAAAAAGAAAAAAAAAATAAATAAATAAATAAAAATGTACCAAGACAGTTGTAGATAAAGAAAGGCAAATTATTAGAGAAAGTATGAAAATACTTTGCAAGGAAGCAATGGGCAAACCAGCAGAAGAGAAGCTGACTGCTAGGAGACAAAGGCTTGCTGGAGATTTTATAGGATGGTTTTGGGTTGCATGGTGCTACATGCAGTACTGCTAATGCTAAGGTTTCAGGGAGCTCACTTGCATTTTTTGTATTAGTCAAGGTTCTGGTGACAGCTGGGCACAGGAAGATTGTGAGTTATTTGTGCAGGAGGGCTATATGTCCTGGACCATGAAGAAAGGCAGACTTATAGCTTATTGCCTTTTTTTTTTGTTGTTGTTTTTCCTTTCTCCCACCAACATGTCATTTTCTTTAATTGAGACTCCACAGTGATCAGTGATTTCGCGTACTGACAGTGGAGTTAGATTCTTGAGTTAAGGTTCTGGCTCTGCCACTTGGCATTTGTGTGGTCTTGAGCCAGTTCCTTGCCTTTTTTTAAGCCCAGTTCCCTTGATTACAAAAAGGGTTAGTAACAGGATAGCTCTCTGATATGGCTTGGCTCTGTGTCCCCACCTAAATCTCATCTGGTAGCTCCCATAATTCCCATGTGTTGTGGTAGGAACCCAGTGGGAGATGGTTGAATCATGGGATCAGTTTTTCTGGTGCTGTTCTTGTGATAGTGAATGGGTCTACAAGATCTGATGGTTTTAAAAACGGGAGTTTCTCTGCACATGCTCTCTTCTCTTGTCTGCCACTATGTGAGACGTGCCTTTCACTTTCCATCATGATTGTGAGGCCTCCCCAGCCACATGAAACTGTAAATCCAATAAACTTCTTTCTTTTGTAAATTGCCCAGTCTTGGATATGTCTTTATCAGCAGGGTGAAAACAGATTACTCTATCTTCCAACATTAAGAAAAACAACAATATTCTAAATAAAATGATGTGGGCAAAGCACTCGATGCAAAGTAAGTCCTTCACAGATTTTATTTTTTGGTTTTATTTTATTTTATGGTTATGTGAATTATCACTATTAGGTTTTCTGATTATTCATAACCTTTCCTATTCTGGGCAGGCTGCTTAGCTTTTTATTCTTATTTCCCAAGTTGAATGCAGGCAGATCTCTGATTTCACACCATATGCATTCATCTTCTAGCCTTGTATGTGTGGTGATCAGGTTGGGCATTTATTCTCCTAGAGGTCAAAAAACATAAAATTCTACCTGCAGTATGAAAACCCAAATTTGGTATGGGAAATGAAGCTTAAATTTATCAGAGATTAATAGATGAAAGTGTAAGTAGTTTAAAAGGCAAATATAAGAAGTTGAGACTGTCCTTCTCTGAGTGAACATCTGCTTAGTAGATTGACACACTTGTGAGACCAGCTAAGTATTAGCTACTTTTTTTTAGAGATAGGGTCTTGCTCTGTGTGTGCCACCATGACTGGCTAATTTTTATTTTAGAGATGAGAGTCTCACTATGTTGATTGGGCTAGTCTCAAACTCCTGATCTCGAGCCATTCTTCTGCCTCAGCCACCCAAGTAGCTGGTATTACATGTGAAAGCGATGGCACTCAGCTTAGTACTAGTTACTTCTAGGTTTACTGGGAATTTTTCTAGTGATTCTGGGAAACCTACATATTTGTGCTTTTGTTTTTTTCAGTGTGACAGAGACAGTTACTTGTCCCAATATTTATTGATTTTTTTTATTGTTTTAAGAGAATGCTGAGTTTTCAATGGAATCTATAGCTACTCAGAATAAAGACTACATTTCCCAGGCTCCCTTGCAGTTAGATGTGGTCATATGACTAAGTTCTGGCCTAAGAGCTGTGAAGAGAAAAGATATAGTCTTCTTGAAAGGGCAGATGTGCCCTCCTTCCTTTCTTTATTCTATCATCTGGGATGCAGATGCTGTGGTGAACTACATGGATCATGCAGATGGGGATAACACTCTAAGAACGGTGGAAGAAACTTGGGTTTGTGATACTACAGAGCAGCCATGTTATATGAGAGAAAAATAAACTTCTATTTTGTTTAAGTTATGATCACTCAGTCTCCTTTACTGCAATGGTATTTATATCCTAAATAACACAGGCAGAAATGAGGTTGGCAGCAAACGTGCCCCTGCTGCCGAAATCTTCCTTGTGGCTTGAGTCCTGGAAAAATGCCAACTTATTTGTGTTTGTGTGTGTGTGTGTGTGTGTGTGTGTGTGTGTGTGTTGTTTATCTCTGTGTGTAGGAATTCACTCGTTTAAAATATTCAGCATTTATATTGACTGTCAGGCACCTTACCTGCCACACACACACATCTGTGTATATCTATACGTCAATTGTAATTCCTGTTTTTAATGAACATACCATCTGGAATCTGAAAATCTACAGTTTAAGAAGCACTGTATGGCCAAGTGAACAAGATAATGGATACCAGAAAATGTTAGAAAGTGTTTGGCCACTATTTTTCTTCTTAATCCATGAGTAACCCATGAAAGTTAAAAGATGGTCCCCAGAAAGACAAAAGATGGAAGTTGATTTCATTCCATTTTTTCCACTGTATACAGAACACCCTCCACCCCAGGCTGGCATGGCACGGTTCAAGGACCTCCTTTGGTTCTGTGTCAGGTCACCCCTCTGTTGTCTTTCAGCTCTGCGAAGGCACCTTGCACCTCTTCCCATGTGATGCCCATGCCCCGGAGACCTCTGTCATTTTGCAAGCCTGGTTTTCCCTCAACTCTGTGTGAGGCAGGCAGCCAGCATCACTGTCCCAGTTTCACAGACAGAGCAACCGAGTCATTATTCTATTGATACTGGACAAAGGTACCGAGTGAGTCATTCTAAAGTCCGAGAACCAGATCCTTTCTTGCTCCTGGCATCATTCATGGACCTGAATTCCACCAAAGGTTCAAGAGGATGCTGGTCATTGACCTGCTCAGAGAAGAACGCGTTTGTGTGTGACTGAGTGAAAAACAAGGATTAACTCTCTCTTGACACTTGCAGGCTTGAACAAGAAAGCAAAGGGGTGGGGTGGGAGAGGCGGGGCGGGGCACGGGGGGGCAGAATGTGCATGTGTAGCGTCATCATCTCATCATACCGGGATTCTCAACCTCTCTCAAAATGTTTTGAGAATTCCCCAGTACATGATTTCCTTAGTACTAAGTTTTTAAATTAAAAAAATATCTTATTTGCCATTGAAGCAATCACTTTTCTCCATCTTACAACAGAATCATTTAAGTGAATTTGGATCTGAGAGGAAACTAAATTTATTTCCATCTTTTTGCAAGAGAATCTTTCAAGTATCTGGCAGAGAAAAAAAAAAATGAGCTTGCTCATGTAATAAAATTAGAAACACAAGCGATTCCAAACACAGGCTGTTCATATTTAGTAGGATGATGCTTCTTATGTAGCATTTTCTGAATAGCTTTGAATTTCCTAATTTTTTTTCCTTTCCTTGTGTTTTTCTTTGTCTCACATGTCACCCTATTTATTCATTCCCTCATCAACCTTCCCAGCTAAGGAGGAGAGAGGCACAAGGTATATCTACAGAAGTAACCATGGATTTAAAAGTAGCGACAACATCAATTTAAAGGCAAGTTATAGCTTTTGTACATTAAACTTGGTGACTTTATCCTTTGCTTCATAGCTATGGGAGAAGGGAAAGTTTTGGGAAGTAGAAATAGGAGTTCTTACTGGGAATCCAGATGCTCTTAAGGTTGTCTTTCTTAATGAACTTTAGAAACGAACCCTGAAAGTATAGTCTTAGTTGTCTTTCTCATCACCTGCACCAGCCGTTCAGTTCCTACCTGGGGCTCTCTGAGTCAGGATCCTCAAAGATGGGTCCTAGGAATCTGCATTTAAAAAATCTTCCCGGGAGATACTCATATCTACTAAAAGCTTGAGAGTCTCTGCTCTGAAGGGGCTTTGTGGATGGGTCTTCAGGGACTGTGAAGCCCTTCAATGTGTGTCTAAAGTGTATGTGTGTATATATAAGTATATTTTTTCTGAAGTAGATTCTTAAAGGAGTCTAAGACCCCAGAAAAGGTTAAGACTCAGTGCATAATGGCCAATAAATGGAGAGAAAAAATGCCCAATCTCATGTATTAATGAAGAATGCAAGTTAAAACACGAGTATTACTTTGCACTCACAAACTTTTGAAAAAACCAATGGTGGTTGGCAAAAATAGAAAAATAAGAATTCTCATACACTGTGGAGGGTATGGACATTTTGGGGAACAATTTGACAGTAGCTAGCAAAGCCTAAAATACATTCTCCTTACAGCCCAGCAAGTCCACTTTTAAGCAAATACCAATTCTTGAACATATGAGCATGGCATGTTTAAGGATATTCTTTGGGATACTGCTTATAATTAATTGTGAAAAGTTGGAAACAACCTAAGTACTTACTGCAGGGGCAGAAGGAAGGTGATCCCTTTCCTTCCCATCATAAGGGTCATAACTGACACCCTTATAAGAAGAACAAGCTAACAAGAGAAAAGCATAATACATTTATTTGATCACAGTTTTATGAGACATGAGAGCCTTCAGAATAGAGACCAAAGATCCAGGAAAAATGTATTCCTTTTTTTTATTCTTAGGTTCAGTGAAGAATGGACAGCCACCTAGAACTGCGATTGGGGGAAACAGGAATAATCAAATGGAAATAGACTGAGTCAGGAAACCTATCAAGCCCTGTCAGCTCAGCTTCTTCATGGCCTCTCATTTGGAACATTTCTGTCTCCCAGGTATGGAATAGGGCCCCTCTGGGATAAAGGTCTTAATTTCTTTGTGGTCAGCTCTTACACAGAAAGGCAGGGGAATTTTAGAGTCATATTTTTAGGTTTTATGACTGGCTTTGGGTAAAAGATGTTTTGGTTTCTATGACTTGCCTTGGGGAAGAGGAATTATAGTTTCTATAGCTTGCCTTAGGGGAGAATGAGGGACAAGAGACAGGAGAGCAGGAGAAGGTCAGAGAGAGACTTTGCTTCAAGATACTTTGGGGTATCATTTTCTAAGTCTCAACACACAGATAGAGGAATGGGATAAATAAGATGTCATATGATCAATGTTAGATTGCTATAAAGTAATTACAAGGAATGATGTAAATCCATTTATTAATAATATTGAAAATAATAGGCCCGGGGTGGTGGCTCACACCTGTAGTCCCAGCACTTTGGGAGGCTGAAGCAGCCAGATTGGTTGTACCCAGGAGTTTGAGACCAGCCTCTGCAACTTGGTGAGATCCCATCTCTACAAAAAATACAAAAATTAGCTGGTGATGGGGATGCATGCCTGTAGTTAGTCCCAGCTACTCAGGAGACTGAGATGTGATGATCACTTGAGCCCAGGAGGTTGAGGCTGTAGTAAGCCATGATTGTGCCATTGCACTAAGCCTGGGTGTCAGAATGAGATGTTGCCTCAAAATAACAACAATAATAATAATACCAAAAATAATAATAGCTAATACTTATATGGTGTTTAATGGCACTGTTGTAAAAGCTTTGCATATATTAACAACAAAACGGAATCTTAAAACACAATTGTGAGTGAAAAAAGCATATAATAAAATGATACAACACTATGACAATATTTATGTATAAAAGCACAAAATAATACATAGGTTACTGAGATACATATTGAGAGAGTAAAAGTAGAAAACATGGGTTTCACAAATAGACACAAAAGCACTTACATGGTACTCACAAAACCAGTTTGCAAGGCAAGATGTTATAAAATGAGAGTGTTCACTGGCAGGGCAGCGCAAGATAGACAGAAGGGAACAGAAGAGAAGGCCGTGCAGCTATAGGGCTGTTAAGACAGAAAGAATTTGTGGAGCACAAGCAAGACAAACACAGATGGAAGGATTGCAGGAATTGTACTGCCTGGGAGGTCCTGGAGATATGACCCCTTGAGGAAGAATGTCATCTCTGGGAGCACGAATGGAGAGTCAAAGACGGACACACACAAGGAAGTGAGAAGACATTGGCATCTTCTACCAGGGCATCTGGAAGTCTCTTTTGGTTAAAGAATATATGGTAAGTTATTTAGTTATAAATAACAAGAGGAAGTGACCAGCTGAATTGTACTCAGTTCTCTGAGAAGCAAGAGGTATTATTTAGTGAAGTGTAAGTTACCAACCCTTTGAAAGAAGGCTATGGTGTCTTCAAAGCATTCACAATATCTAGTGAATTAAGGACTCACTGTTGTTAGGTGTGCGCCTTAAATGTCGGCTTGATAAAATTAAAAATATGCAATTTTGATTTAACAAAAGCAAATGTCTTCTCCCTCCCCCTGAAAAAGAAAGAAAGGGTTGGAGGAAAAATAGTTATGGCTATTCCAGAAATTCTCCTTGCAACCAGATTTCAAATTGCAAGCTCTCTCTCTCTCTCCTACTTCTCTGTCCTCCTTGCCTACAGGATTAGTTGTGACTTACAAGGATCTCCACATTTGGTCCTGGGACACTTCCAGTCCACCCTACTCTCCACCCGCATGGACTCCTCATCCTTCATTTCAGTGATGCCAACCTTTGCATATCCTGCTTCCTTTGCTTGGAATGACTTCTCTCTGACCCTGCTTTGCTTGGAAAGCTCAACCTTCCTTTAAGAACTAGCTCAAAGGTCTTCTGTTAAGCCTTTCCTGAAAGGCTTAACTGAAAGCAGAACACAAAAACAAAAAGCACAGCCATTTACACACCCAGTTATTCACCATACAAACACTGATCAAGGTCTACCAATGCCCTCCAGCCAAAAACCACCAGGATCACACTGATAATCAAACAAACGGGGCTTATTACTCATTGATGAAGGGAGAACATACTTTAAGGCACTATCTTAGTAACTGTTAGAAAGAGACTACTAGAAGATTTGGACTTTGGTTGGGTGATTTGTGGAGGGCTTAATAAATTAAGAATTTGTGCTGGGGGCCGGGCGCGGTGGCTCAAGCCTGTAATCCCAGCACTTTGGGAGGCCGAGGCAGGTGGATCACGAGGTCGAGAGATCGAGACCAACCTGGTCAACATGGTGAAACCCCGTCTCTACTAAAATACAAAAAATTAGATGGGCATGGTGGCACATGCCTGTAATCCCAGCTACTCAGGAGGCTGAGGCAGGAGAATTACCTGAACCCAGGAGGCGGAGGTTGCAGTGAGCCGAGATCGTGCCATTGCACTCCAGCCTGGGTAACAAGAGCGAAACTCCGTCTCAAAAAAAAAAAAAAAAAAAAAAAAAAAGAATTTGTGCTAAGTCTGATACCATCAGAAATCCAGGCAATTCTATGACTGAGTACATTTCAGGTGGCAGAGTAATCTTGTTTTGGTCTATGCATGGGCAAAATTATGTAGTGACCTTGTTTGGTTTCATTTTATCATGGTTCAGAATAAGCTTGTCTGAGGCTGGTGTTCTATGAGATTGCCTATGTCCAGTAGGGGAACAATGGCCTGGCTGTGAGTGTCAGATCAGCTTGTAATAATATTGAGGTCTACCAGTGATTATTTCTGGATGTCAGGGCCTGCTTTTTTCTTTCTCTATGCCTATAATGCCTCAGTCATTGAACTGTGATATTGTTCATATATCTTTTACATCACCCACCATGCCTTATTATGTAGCAGACAGTGCAGTTATGTCTCAAGATATATTCCAACCCTCTCCCACCATGGGGCAGACATGGGATATGGGTGGGACTGATTCCACTCTCAGCTCCAGGATAGGCCCTGATTTGTCTAGAACATCCCGTGACTTGTTTAGACATAGGCATTGCAGATTTGGTTTTATGGAAATAGACACTGAGATTGCCTGCAGGAAGTTTAGTGTTTAGCTACACAGGAACGGTGTAAGCAAGAGAGGGAAGGATGATGAGACAGAGGGAGAAATTGACCCAGTATGTGATTTCAACAAAGGGCTTATCTGATTCCCTTTTGGAAGCACTGGAGCTGGTCTGACACTTCAGACATGCCTGAATTGAGGTGACCTCAGGCTTTTATACTCACTCATTGATCAGCCATTAGAGGCAGTGTCCTCTCAAGGGGGACAATATCCTTGAGTCTGGCAGCTCCTTTTGGTCAGAGCAGTACCCTGGGAGGAACTCAGCTGTGAGCCATCTGTAGTCAATACTTCCAGAGTGGGAAAATCAGGGTCTCAGATCTGAAGGGAACATCTGGTTGATATAGGCACTAAAATGGGCAAATATGAATATTATTTTCCTGTCTTGCTGATAATTGCACCTTCTAGAGGATAGGTTTTTGATACTAGTTCTACCTGTTTTAGTCTATTCAGGCAGCTATACCCAAATACCTTAGGCTGGGTGATTCATAGACAATAGAAATGTATTGCTCACAGTTCTAAAGACTGGGAAGTCCAAAATCAAGGCACCTAGTAAGGGCCCATTCCGCATATGGCACCTTCTTGCTATGACCTCACATGGTGGAAGGGGCAGGGCACTCCCTTCAACCTTTTATTAGAGCAGTAATCTCATTCATGAGCATGGAGCCGTCATGAATGAATCACTTCCTCAAAGACCCCCCACCTCTTACTACCATCACATTGAATATTAGGTTCCAACACATGAATTTTGAAGGGACAGCAACATTCAGATCACAGCTCTGTCCAACAGGAGTACTTGGTAGGTGAAATGAAGAGCCTTGAGAGAAGGTAGCTGTTACTTATTTTAACATGCTGCCCAAGGCTAAGCCAGCTGGGTGATATTCCTTGGATACAGCGATTCTTTCAGAAGAGCTCAGGATTTTTTTTTTTTTTTTTTTTGGTTATTAGTGAAAGAGAAGCTTGCTAGACACTAGCAGGAAAGTGTACAGTTCCAGCTGCTGGTTGCATCATGAGGACAAAACCAGCATACAGAGGATGGAAAAACTGAGAGAATTGTGAAGAAATGAGAACAGTCATAGCGTGCTGGAGCTAGCCTGCATCAGGCAGGGGTGACTGTGCACATCTCTTCCCAATTTTGTCTTCAGTGACTTCATGTTGTAGCTTGAAATAGGTCATGGTGGGACCTCTAGGTCAGTCTGGGCCTCTTGGTCTATGGCTAGTAAGGATCCCACTTCCTGTTCCTTTCTCTCTCCATCCCCACCCATCTTGTTCACTCTCTCGCTCTCCCTTTGCGTTCTCTCTAATTTATTTCTCCTCTTGTCTCTGAGGAGGAAGCAGTAGAAAGTCTGGAATGTAGTCATTGGGAACCTGGTGGACATTCTTCTCTGTGGCCTTGTGTTTTTGGCATGGATCCTTCCTGGTCCTGGGTCTGCTCTCACTTGCCTGTCATCACACACACACACACACACACACACACACACACACACACACACGCTCTCTCTCTCTCTCTCTCTCTCTTTCCCTGACACATACTCACACTTCAGAATGATTATATTTATAATACCCTGGGCAGTTCCAAATGCCAGTATGAATTTTAAGAGCACATTTGTGTCTCTTGCTTGGAACAGACTGAATTTTCCACTGGCTGAGAGTTTGAAGTTCTTCCAGCCAAGAGAGCAGTGAGAGCCTCTGGGGGACCAGCCATGTGTTGGAGCCCCATCAATTTTCTGCTCGAAGGGGCACACTCTCTCAACATTTGTTGAAGGACCTATGGCCACATTTGGCACAAACCACTCATGTTGTGCTTTTCAAGTAAAACCTGGTAGGGGGAAGAGCATCTGGAGTAGAGAGACCTGGTGTCAAGTGAGAATAGGTCCTACAGGGTTGATACTTAAAGGCCGTCAGAAAGGTCATCTGTTTTCTGGGCC